CTGATCCCCAGCACGACTGAGAGGTGAGCTTAGCACCTTGGTCCCTGCCATCTAGTTTTTACCTTGAAATTACATCTTACCCACCCTCCCCTCCGGATTCTTCTGAGACTTAAAACTGAAAGAAACAGTAAAGAACCCCACACCTCGCAAACGTAAACCGTGGCTCGTGGGTGAGTTGAGACCCAGGGAAGTTTGATTATTCATGGTGAGCCTGCATTGAAGGACTTTGCTAAGTCACTTTACAAGGATTAGCACATTTTCTCTTAACACAGCATCCACGAAGTGGATACTGTTTTATCCCCACTTCACAGATGAAGAGACTGAGGCACAAACTACATGGGTAACTGTCCAGATTTGTGCAACCAGTTTGAATAAATTTTAATGCAGACCTGGATGGATCACAAAAACAGATTCCTCCACCTCAAATTCTACATACTTTCCACTCTTCCAAGCATGTCTTCTTTTTCTAAAAAAACACCCTTGTCTCGCAGACTCTTGAGAAGTTGGTGAGCTCCATGGATCTCTCCTCACAGGGAAAAAATGCACATGGACAGCCCCCCCACTTTCCCACTACACACAAATTTTCATATTTTAGAGTATTCGGACCCAAACATAGACCTCAAGTCAAGAAATCCTGTTCTCTTCCACTGTTCTGAGACTGCACATACATGGTTAGATGGGGGTGTACCAAAGTGCCACAGGGCCATGCTGAGGTAAAGTATGCATGCTGGGGTGTGTGCATGTGTGACAGCTCTCCTGAGGATCAGAAATGCTATACAGTTTACAAGGAACCTAGCCCTAAAGGATAGGACTTCTGTTATTTCCTCCAGAGAGGTGAGGCTCTGGGTCAGTTTTGGCACCATTCTCTGTCCAGCGTTTTGGGGCTTTAGCTGGAAGGGATACAAGCCACAGACCTAGCCCACAGATTTCTGAATTCACCCTTGTAGCTTGACTGGATAATGTCACATGCTGCTACCATATTTTGCCATGTATAATGTGCACTTTTTGCCCAAATTTTTGAGGGAAGAATAAGGATGTGCATTATACATGGGCAGTGCCTGAAATACCTCGTATCTGTCCTTGTGTTTTGTAATTATCTGTTACATAAAATTTCTTGTACCATAATATGTTAAAAAAATAAATGCTAAAATTCCTTTATAATACCAAAACAAATATCTATACATAAAAAATTAAAAATTGAATTAAAAAATTAAAATGAAAGTTTTTTCCCTAAAACTTTGGGCCAAAACATGGGTGCATATTTTACATGGCAAAATATAGTAATTCTTTAGGGTGGATGCTGTCAAAGTCACCAGTGAGGTCATTGATTTGGAAGTCTCTGTCCACACCAGTGAGGTGGCATTGATTCAGTACAATCGGTAAACTATTTAGGAGCATCATATTTTATTCCATGTAGGATGTATATCTGTATGCAGTATGACAATACTGCACCTACTAGAATTTTGCTGATAATAATAATAAAACCAGCCATAACAGCAGCTAAAGTAAATCTCACCAAGCACGCAACAAAGACCAAGTAGACAACTTCAGGTCTCGTTGGGAGCCTATTTATACACAGTTCTAGTGAACTTCCTTATGGGGTTTCCTAGTCCACACACATTATAAACAGATTAGAGGGGAAGAGAGGGGATACAGCAAACAGGACATTAAAGCCACAAGCCATGTGATGGCTGATGTCACAGCAGGAAAGGATGAAAGCACAGAGAATAAACAGAAGGCAGAAGAATGAGGAAAAAGGAAGGACAAGGCAACAGCATGCATTTGATGGTGGTGGTCACTCTCCCTACTTGAAACTTACCTCTTTGCTCTCTCCCAGACTCGGGCTGCCTGCAACCCCTGAAGACCTCATAATTCCACATAGACCAGGTTCAGAGCTCTCTTCCGAATTAGGTATCCTATTGCCTTGTGTATCCTAACTCAGCATGCCCAAAGCTTAACCAGCTACACTCCCTGACCAGTCTGGACCCCATCCTGAGCTACCCATCTTAGGCACAGGTAGCCACTTTCTCAAGCCAGAAACCTAGACATTTTCTTTGATTCCTTCCACTCCTCAGTATTATAACTTTTGGTTGTCTGTTAAACAAACCTTCATTGATGCCTCTTGTGATATGTGATAAAACGAGTCAAGCATTAATAATAGGATCTCAATGGTGGATATATGGGTATTCAGTTTTTCTTCATGTTTAAAAATATGAGCCAGGTTCTGTCTGGTGGAGAAATAATGGTCACTATAATATACAACTTCTGTTGCATGAAGACTACATACTAGCGGGGAAGGTATACAATATATAAATTGACTATACCTATATCTACACATCTATAGAAGAAATGTTATATAGAAAAATGTTTCATTTAATTATGAAAAAAATAAATGAAATAACAAGCTGGCATCAATTTTAATGGTGAGAAGTGCCAACCAGTGGAAATTCTGAGCAAAGGGCACTCCAGGTTGAGGGAACAAGACAGTTCAGGGGCAGGAGTGAATTTTTGTTCCATAAACAAACAAGGCCAGTATGGCTGGAGATCACTAATTCAAGGGGGACTGAAGTGAGATCTGAGGATCAGGAAAAAGGAACTGGGGAGGTCATCATGAGTCTTTTTGTTTTTTTCTTATTACAAAGGAGAGATACTAGAATGTTTTAAAAGATTATCTGGAGAGAATGTTCTGACATGAGGTAATGTTCTATATCTTGACAGAAGATTGGGTGACAAAGATGTATGCTTTTGTCAAAACTCATGCAGTGGTACACTTAACACTTACGCATTTCATTATATATTCAAAACACCAAAAAGAAAACAAAGAACTGTAAACAAATATTAATCTCCAGATAAGGATATGTATGCTGGACTATGTCTGCAGTTTACTTTGAAATGGATCAAAAAATACAATGGATAGATATGTGATAAAGCAAATCAAGCATTAATGGTAGGATCTCAAGGGTCGATATATGGGTGTTCAGTTTTTCTTTATGTTTAAAAATAGTTATACTAAAATTTTGAGGGTGGAAGCTTGTCTGATCCTATCTATCTACATTTTTAAAAGGTTGCTCTGGGGCTGAATAGAAAATGAACCATAGAGGGCTGTTATGGAAGCAATGAGACAAATTAGAAATCTGTAGCAATGATTTGGCCTAGGATAGTACCAATAGAAGTTGATGTCAGGAGGTGGAGTTGACAGGATCTGCTGATAGATAGAGGATCTGTGAGGGAAAGAGAAGGAAGAGTAACCCCTAGTTTTTTAACCTGAGTAGGTGGATGGATGGTGATGCCATTACTGGAAATGGGGAGAACTGGAGGTCTGGGTGATAGCAAGAGTTCTGCTCTGGACATGTTACATTTAGATGCCTATTAAACATCCAAGTGAAAATGAAGAGTTGGCTGATAGGTATTTAATTTTGAAGCTCTGGGGAGAGACAGAGATGGCTGTATAAATTTGAGAGTGAACAATTATAAGCTGCAAATTAGGATAAAGATCATCAGATGGGATGTGATCACAGGAGAGTGATTGAGAATAGGGAAGGATCCTGAGGGCTTACTCCTGGACACTCCAACAATTAGGCTCCTAACATAAGAGGAGGACCCAGCAAAGGAAACTAAGAAGGAGTGGGTGGGGAGGTATGAAGGAAACAGGCATTGGAGATGTTATGGTTGTCTAGAGAGACACAGTTACAGAAGGGACACGTAGTCAACAATGGAACTCATTGCTATAGGGAATGTAGGTAAGGGAGCAGGTTTGTGGTGGGGAAAAGATGGTACAGTTTCAGATTTTGTAGTAAGATGGGATCTTTTCATTGCAAATGAGAGGAACTCAAGCTAACTAGCTTCTACCAATATAAGGTTGGGGGAAGGGCATTTTTGCTCATGCAACCCTGAACATTTAGGTAGTAGGGACTTCTAGCACTACTGAGTCCTGAGCACAGCTGATGCCCTCAGTCTCAGTCTCTCCGTGACAGCCAACATGGCTCCTGGCAGCCCCACCCCATACCCCACTGCTTAATAGCTGAGTAGAAAGAGTAGTGTTTCCATGCAGTTTGGCAGAAGGGTCCCATGGGGTGGTGATTGGCTGATGTCTTTTCCGAATGTATTCTTGAGACATTCACTGTACCTGGGGAGAGTGTTCACTCACACAGGCTAAACCTAGGTCATAGACCCATTCCTGTCTTAGGAGATGGAAGGGGTATCCCCATACAAAAAGTTGAGGTGGAAACTTGTCTGACCTTATCTGATCTGCATTTATAAAAGATTTTTCTGGGGATTGAAAAGAGGTTGGACTATAGGAGGCTGTTGAGGAAGTGATGAGACAAATGTGGGGCTGTGGCAATGATTTGGCCGAGGTTTGTTTTGTGTTTTTGTTTTATTTCCCTCAGAAAAATAAATGGAGGAAATCAAGCAGGTAGTACCTAGCCTGGCCTACTCTTCAATTCAAAAGATTGATACCTCATTGTCACGTAAAATGAAAAAAAAATTACTGATCTCTCTTTGGTATCTCACAGAGCATAGTAGATGCCCATTTATAATGAGCACCTCAAAATGTTACATGTTCTTTATCATGTGTTTTAACTACTAAAACTTGTGTGGTCTCTATGTTATGGGCAACATGCTGGTTCAGAGCCATGTGGTGGGGAGCTCAAATCCTTAATTTGGCAATTTAGTTAGCCTCATTTGGTTCATAGGTGAATGGGAAGGCTCTGTCAAGGAGGGAAGATTAAGTGAGAATAACAAGAAAACTACATAGTATTCATTCTGATGGGAGATTAGTTTAAAAATATTTGAACTTTATACTAGTTGCAGATTTTTATGTTTATGTGTAATTTCTACTTTCATGAAATTAGTTCCAATCAATTATCATAACATTTTATTAGAAATTGACTCTATTCTTTGGGAAGGCTTAAAATATTATTTAATCAAAATAAAGTTGACATAATTAGCTTTGAGTCACATGTTTTTGTTTTGTTGTGGGTGTGTGTTTTCTGCTCTAGTGTTTGTTTTGGTCCACAAAAGCATTTTCAAGAAGCTGCTGGTCAAGCATGGCTTTAACAGATCAAAGGCTTGAGAACCTGCAGGTCTACAAACTTCTTCAATGTGTTCGGAACAAAGACAAGAAGCAGATAGAAAAGCTCGTCAAACTCGGCTACCCTGAACTAATCAATTTCACAGAACCTGTGGAGGGACTCAGTGCTCTGCACCTAGCCTCAGTTTCCAATGACATTGACATGGTCAGCTTTCTCCTCAGCCTTGGTGCTCACCCCGATGTGCAAGATCGAATGGGCTGTACTCCGACCATGAGGGCTGCAGGACTGGGCCATGAATTGTCCATGGAAATACTAGCCAAGGCAAAGGCAGATATGACTAAAGTCGATAATGAAGGAAAAGGTAAAAATCTCAACATTCTACCCAGCAGATGCAATTCTTTTTGTAGCCAGAAATTCATAAAGCAGGCTTTTTTGCTTTTCAACTTTAGAAGTGGATTACTCCTGTACCTAAGGATACTGACTGCCCATAATTTGAAAATGGTATAGGTAAAGCTTAGGGAAGTCAGATCTGAGAGTTTTTTCGTTTAAAAAGAAAATTAATTGCTAAGGGCAGGTGTGTGTAAGGGGAATAAATGGTAACAGGAAAAAATGCAATGAAGATTGAATTTTAAAAACAAAAAGAAAATTAGAATTACATTAATCTGTGTTCAGTGATTTTTGTAAAGGTAGAGAATTTTCAACATGACACACATTGATATTATTGTAATCATAGCCACCCATTATAAAATACAAAATCTTGTTTAGGGCAAAAAGGGAGAGCTTTTATTTTTCTTTTTCACAGTTTAGAACCTGGAGTAGTACTGGACTTCAGACTCCAGAAGGATTTTGTCTCCTCTCAATAGCAGTCTGATGTAGAAAGGAGTTATTTACACATGGGAATTTGAAGGATTAAGGTAGTTTCTAGCATAAACTCCAACTTTCTGGAGTAATTTTAAATAATTTGTAAATACAACTTGAAATTTGAGACAGGGATGTAATTTCCAGGACTTTTCAGGTGAGATAGCCCCATGTCCCCACCCTGTTCACCCCCCTACCCCACATCCCAATCCAATCTCAAGACCACAGTCCTGGAACTTCTTGTCCAAACAATGCCAGGTCCCAGCAGGAACTGACATAGCCTCATGAAAATCACTAAGAAGATTACTGCCAGGCTTAATAAAAACCAGTAGATTTCATGAGTTGTCCCAAAGAATTGCACTAAGTACAAAGCCACTATTATCAGCCCCACAGTAGAGAAATAAATTCACCTGTAAAATATTAATGTTTTCTGACAGGGACAAAACCTGCTTTTGTAACTCTCTCCACTGACTTGCTTAAAACAGAGGAGTAGACAGAGACAAGAAAGAATTATTTAATTACTTAATGCCACTAGGTAACAAAATATCCTTCAGGTGCAATCAGGGGTCAAATGTGTTTAAAAATTCCATATCCTAAAAAACAACAGCAACAAAAACAAACACAAACACAGAAACCTCTCAGTTCGATCGAGTATCATTTCTTAGTGTGTTTCATGCCCCACTGAATCCCTGGGATGTTGATAAGTGCTACATGCAAAATTGGTTCCACTGTCAAATTCATTAGAGAAACATTGAATAAAACACATTTAGGCACATTGATTTCACATTTGTCAGACAGACCAATGATGGTGACACTTTCCATATTTGTTTGACCATGAAATAGTTTTTCCATATAGCATCTCCTATACATGAAATTTTGTCAAATATACTTTGGGGAACACTGTAATGAATAGTTTACCTCCTTGAGTTTGAAACAGATACCAATCACAAAGAAAACGGGTTGAGAAATTGTACATAAAATCTAAAATTGTAAAATTAAAACTAAACAAGGTACAATTAGAAACAAAGTCAAGTGAATATTTGTAATAAATGTTGATGGCCATATGGTTAAAATTTAACCTCATTGAAATTAATATTAAATCTGTCAAGGTTCTGGAAGATGAGTATATCAGAAAACAATATGACAAATCACATAGTAAGAAATCAAAATATAAAATGAAACCTGAAACAAATACAAAATCTTATTTTAAACATAACCTTGTTAGCAGTGCCCTCTTCTGCCTCGATTCTACATAGCCTTTGCTGTGCTCATTGCACTGAGGGTCTTGTCTTCCCACACACAAACCTTGCTCACCTTGCATGTTCTTCGCTTCGGCTGCCACTTGCCAAACTGTTTTGCTTATTTCACAATACTCTGTCATAACATCCTATTTTCCAGAGACCAATATTTGACTCACTGTGCATTGTTTCGAAAGGATAAGCAAACATTTAAATGACTAAAATACTTACTTGATCTTTAGAAAGATGTGGGACATATTCCATGCCCACCCTGTACTTCCTCTTTGAACTGTTTTACAGAATATGAAGAAGGTAAAGCTCTAAGCCACACTTGCTTGTGACTGCTTCCTAACTCTGTCATGGGTTGAGTTTCTTTCCTGTTTCTCAATCTTGGTGTTTCAGTTAGTTTCAGAAGGAAAACAAAGGCAGAAATGTCTTTGCTCTATCACTTTTACTAGCTAATTATGGATTTTAAAGTTATTTTTATCTGATGGAAATATATAGGCAATTAATAAGTATTCTTTGGGGGTTCTATTTTCCTACAGGTATTTTGTTTCACTGCATTTTACCTACTAAGAGGCATCATCGCTGTGCATTGATTGCCCTGGAACACGGTGCGGATGTCAACAATTCTTCCTATGAAGGAATCCCAGTATTCCTTAGAGCTTGCGAAGAAGCACATGATGTTAAAGAAATGTGCCTGACATTTTTGGACAGAGGAGCCAATCCAAATGCTATCAACTCAGTATGACTATTCCTGTGATTATAAATATTCATTTTTTTCAATTATAGAGTCTTACCAGGGTAATTTTTGCATTTAAATATGGTAAAATTATCCTGTTAGCGTATAGACAGTTCATTTCTATTCAAAATGCTTTAAGACAACATGCTTTCATTATATTTATATTACCATAATCCTACAGTCTATTTTCTTATTGTTTGGAAAATTATTATTTATTATTCATAATGTCAAAATATCATTTTAGAAAATAGACAAGGTATCACTAATGCCCAGTAAAGTTTTTATCTTTTTGAAAAGAGAATATGTGGTTATGCTTTTTTCTTTATTCATTTTGCTCCCTTTCCTCCTTTGGGTAATTTTATTGATTTTTTAAATCTTTTAATTGTTATTTTGAGACAATGAAATCAGATTTTATTCTCATTAGAAAGCACCTGTAACCTAATGTTAGCATATACCCTACCCTCTTTTCTCCCTTTTTGCTCTATAATCTCAGCAAGAAATGTATTTTTCTCACTGAGACATCTGGTATGACCTTGACTCATTTAGAATTCTACATTTTGGATATTTACCCATAGTACTGGCTTCATTTTTTTATTTGTTACATAAAACTAATAAAAATGTAGAGAACTAAACATGGTAGTGACTCTGGAGCCAAATGGATTTCAATCCTACTTATACCGAAGATGTCATTTAACATGACAGCTGTAAACACTATTTGATCTGTTTCATGTTCAGGCCACAGGCCGCACGGCTTTGATGGAAGCGTCCAGAGAAGGCGTGGTGGAATTAGTTCGAGGGATATTGGAGCGAGGAGGTGAAGTGAATACATTTGATAATGAGAGACATCATGCTGCACATTTCGCTGCCAAAGGAGGCTTTTTTGATGTAATAACATGCTTATTGCTTTAAAATTTGTTGCTAACAAATTTTCTGTCCTTTTCAAAAATTTTAAATATCATATAGGTTACATTAAGGCAGATTTTTTTCTAAGTCACCATCTTGATTTCCTTTAAAAATTCTAAAATTATACTTCATACCAAATATTATTGTTTAAATAGTTTATTTCTTTATTTTTAGAGAGAGGGGAAGGGATAAAGAAAGAAACAGAGTGAAACATAGATTGGTTGCCTCTTGCATGCTGCCAGTAGGGGACCTGGCCTGCAACTGATACATGTGCCCTGATTGGGAATCAAACTGGTGACCCTTTGGTTCACAGGCTGGCACTCAGTCCACTGAGCCACACCAGCCAGGGTTCAAATATTATTTTTAAAAACACACTCTAGTTCTTCAATTTTATCTGCTTGCTAATTTATACATTTAATAATACTAATTTTTTTCTGTTTTCTTAGCTATGACAATTTAAAGGTTTTGGCTACTGGGGCTACCATATTTTATGCCTCCATTACATACTATAATCTTCAAAACATGTTATGATCTAATTGTGGGGAGAACAATGCCAATATACCTTTCTCCCCTTGATTGTTGTGGCACTTAATGACTCACCTAAATTTTAAACTCCAAGTATTCTGATTGGACATATTAGCAAAGGTTTCTCATAGGTACAGACAGTTACATTGCAGAAAAAAAAATAGGAACCAATGTTGGCCTTCTTAAAATTCTGAATTACATCTAAAACTTATTTATCCCATTTTCTCTGAGTTTTAAGATAGTTACCATTATTTTTGTCATCGAATCTCTTCCCTACAGTAACAATATGCATCACAATAGAAGTTACATTTGGTAAAGAATTTGCTCCTTTGAAGATGTGTGCCTTAGTTTGATGCTTTCTAAAATTGCCTAGATTTACCAAAATGATAGTGTCCTAGCTGAATATAGAGTTTTGTATACTCTAGATATCAATGTTGTTTGATAGAAATTTTGGCAATGATAAAAAATGTTCTATATCTGTGCTGTACAATAGAGTACAATACAATAGCTACATATGGCTTTTTAATACTTTAAGTATGGCTAGTGAAATTAAGGAACTGTACTTTTAAGATTTACTTCCTATTCATTTCAATTTAATTTTCAATAGCTACATGTGACTAACATGTAATGTATTGGATAGCACAGATCCAGGTGCAATCCTCATTCAGTAAACATACATTCCTGCTCCTCTACATTATCCACCATCTGTCTTGCAGATATTGAAGCTTCTTTTTGCCTACAACGGAGACATGGGGTTGATTGCAATGAATGGGAACACACCACTTCATTATGCTGCCATGGGTGGTTTTGCAGATTGCTGTAGATATATAGCTCAGCGAGGTAAAAATCGTCCAGCATTTTTATGCTTAAAGTATTTATGATTTACTCATGTTCTGGATCAGCAATTTTCAACTTTTTTATCTCATGACACATAAAAACTAATTACTAAAATATATATTTTTGCCCCTGTGACAAAAAATAGGTATAATTTTGATTCATTTTCACTGGACAGTTATTGTGTTGGCTATTGTCATTTTTTAATTTGACAATCTAAGGGGAAGAGAGGTCAGTAACCCTGACTACATCGTCAGGTATTGCATGTTTTAAGAATTCTTTTGGCACAGTGGTAGAAAATCGCTGTTGTAGGTAAGTGGAGACTTTGGGTCTCTTACTTGTCAGTTTTTTATGTTTTTCAATAGCCAACCTCACTCAGATATGTTGAAAAAAATTGATTTTTTTTTTAGTCTGCTTTCTGTTAAGTTGTGAAACTGGTATTAAAAGTGATAAATATCCATTTTCTAAAATATTTTAGGTTGTTAAAAATCTAATCATGAGTCAAGAAATTATTCTAAAATGTTTATAGTTATTAAACTCCTTTTTTAAAAAATATGAACATCCATCTAACAAGGACAAACACTGAAAACCATGTCTTTTAATTCTTGTTTTATTAAAAATATTCTATTGTGTCAGCTGCAAAGATGACTTTTCTAGATAATTTGAATTTATGGGAGATAATTTGAATATAGGGAGAAATATGAAATAATAAAAATTTTCAAAGAAAATTTGAAATGTAGGTAATATTTATTATTTTAGCTGTTCCTATAGCATTTTTAGAGTAACTTTGTTAATTTGGGACTATATGTTATATAGTCCTTAAAATGATAATATTCATTCATTAAGTTTAAAGAAATGGATCGGTTTGGTGCTAACTACATGCTAATTGAATGTGCATTAAAATTTTAGAAATGGGACTGCATTCTGCTGAACTTTATGGTAGTGGTTTCCTTTTTCCAGCTGAGAAATAGACAAAACTTGAAGTTCTATGACTCTATATTAGAGCAGAGAAAGTGCCTTTGTTTTGCTCTCCTCTACAAAGCACAACACTTCAGCAGTCACTGGGACCTGGAGATCCTAAACTGTAACAACTAATATTACAAATAGTGGTGTGTCTGCATAACTAATAGTGCAATAACTGATTATTCTTTCCCCACCCTCCAAAATAATGAACAGTTTTAACAATATATTAAGGAAAATATATCAAATGCTTAAATCGTCTCATAGTCCAGTTTTCAAATCTGTCACAATCAGCAGTTTATTCTGACATTTCATTTTTAACATGATGTATTTCTAAAAACTAAAGATCTGCCCAGATCGAGATAAACTTCTTCAACTTCAATATGTCAGTTGCTTCCTTACTGAGACTAACATCACCAAACATGTACTGTATTGTTTACATACTCCTGGAATAAAGTAATAGAAAGCAAATTGAGAAGCAAAGGGCCAGAGCTTTAGCCATGCTGAAGGCCTCACTCAATTTGTATAGAAAGATTTATCTTCCTGGTAGAATCATAAGACTGTGGTTTTCAGACAGATGTCTGAAAATATTTTGAGTTCTGTAGCGTGTTTAGAAGTACCACAAAATCACCAGATGCTATGTGGGTGATGCAATTCCATAGCAGTAGTTACCAGTTACATTTCTACCTTTAAAATCTTAGATCAAAGTCAATCACAACAGCAAAAAACATTAGCAATAAAATGTTTTTTTTATTTAAATGTTATTTAAATAAAATGCTCATTTCTGAGTAAACTCGATGGGGTTAGTCTCTTCTATACTTCAGTGTAAAGGCAGAATTCTTTTCCCACATTAACCTATTTTCCTCAATATGCTCTTCTTTTGCCCTGTTCCTGTTGCTGGAGCAATCTACAAGTCACTGTAAGCAGTGTGGGTGGCCATGTCCAGGGACAGAGGAGGGGAACATGGAGTAGTTCTCCTGAAGCACCCACTCCATGGAGAATTCTCCTTCCAATGGGCCTTTGGCTGCTTGGTGGTCTTCTAGCACCAGCCCCTAAAGAGTCGCTTGACCACAGAGGAACATAACTCACAAAGGGGGTGAATGGATCTTTATTTACTAATCATAAAGAAGGCGAGAAAGTCTCCCAAGTCAAAAAAAAGGAAACATGTCTTCAGATATTCCAGCTGAGATGTTAGTCTTTTATCTACATAAAGTTTCTAACTGCAAGGAGAAAACTTGGAGCAGAAAAAGGCATAAAGCAGCTTTAATAATCTTTGGATTCATAGTGCTGGGGTAAATATAGGAATGGTGTGGGAGATGGTAGATAAGCCCCCAGACACCCTGAATAAGCAAAAAAGCTCACTAAAAACAGCATACTTGGAATTAGTATGGAATCATTATGCTATGAAATTACACTATCAAGACCCCTTCCCAATAAGTTACTGTTCTTAAAACTGTCCGATATAGAAATTTTAGGGTATTGTCCCAATACGCTTTTTCTATCAATAATAAACTTATCAGCCTGAGTATATATTTTTAATTTTTAACAATACTAAAGGAAGTATTAATCTTGAAAAGCATTGGTGATTAATTTTCTTTTTGGCAAGGGATAAAACTGTAAAGTGTTGGAGAGGTATGTTTTATTTTTACATGCAGCTGCCTATATGTTTTGATTGCTACAAATACTGATTGGGTAGCAATTATTATTTTTGATTACATGATGTTGGCAAAGCAATAGAAGAGTCTTTTAGAGTCAAAACACTAGAAAGAACTTCATTGTCTGACATTTATATACATAATAAACTTTTAATGTCTCAAGACACTTATTAATAGACAACATAGCCTTCCTGGTAACACTAAATAGACACCCCCCACAACCCTGATTCACAAAGTTAATTTATTTAGAGAATACTTACCTGTAGTCTTGGTCTAATGAATTTAAGCAAGGAACCAAAAGGGAAAATGAATTTAATATATAACTCAATCAAATATAATACTGGAATCCTTTCAGATTGATGAACAAATTACAATTTTCTCTGTTAGGTTGTTCACATGACCTTACCACAAAACAGTAGATCTACGTATATAAATGAAATTAATTCCCTGAGAATACAGATAACATGTGATTTAAGATTGCACACAGATTTATAGTCATAGTCATTCAAAAAGAAACAGGCCATTGTTCAGCATTCTGAGTTCTAAAGGGCCATGTAAGCTGTCTGAATACAGCTTCTTTCCAAATCCCAGTGTCACCCTTACTCTTTTCCTGTTTGACGTGAAGACTCCTTATAAGGCAAGTACCCTAATAGGGTATTTGTTTTAAATATCTATAGGGATTAGTGTCCTGATCCTTTAGGGGCAGATAATATGAATTGGAAATATCTCTCAGAAATTCACCAAAGCAAAGCACAAAAATAAATAAATAACAGTTTAATTTTGTAATTATAATAGTTAAATGTGCTCATCTCTATATATGAGTAATTTAGGGACAAATTTTTGACTAATCATTTGAAATAGGAAAACAGTTGGATAAATGTCATTTGTAGAGCCATGTAGGTGCCTTGGTACCGTTTATAATAATGATGCTTCATGTTTTAGGATGTGACCTGAAATGGAAGAATTTACAGCATAAAACACCCAGGAATGTGGCTAAAGAAGGTGGCTTCAAAGCAGCAAGCAAAGAAATAAGGCGGGCAGAACGAATTGCTAATAAACTAGCCCGGCCAGGAGCCAAAGATCCTAACCCACTCTGGGCCCTTCAACTTCATGATTGGTCAGTAGAACACGAGACTTCCCTTCAGGGAGCTTTTTCATATGTGGACAGGGGGGATGGGACAGTCAGCAAGGAAGACTTTGTGATGGTGCTGGAAGAGAGGCAAGAGTTAGTCAACCCAGAACAGCTGCTTTCCATAGCTCAACTTCATGAACAATTGCGGGGAGGGGGGGTCAACATTAACGATTTCTTTAAGGGAACCAAATACTTACAGAAGTCTTATGTCTTGGGATCCTATGGGCCTAAAAAAAAGAAAAGAGGAATAGCCAAAAGGACAAAAAAAGGCAAGTTCGCTTTACCCCTCCCAATCTGCATCATTCCTGATGACGCATTTCCACGCCGGAGTGATGGTGGGCCACCATATTACATGATTGAAACCTACAAGAACATAACTGATTGCAGTCGGTTTGATCGGGATCATCCACCAGAACATCCCATTCAGGATGACTCTGCTTGGTACATTGATGATACAGAGAAAGCATATTCAAATATTAATTTTCTCACCAAGGCAGGAGACCTAGCTTCGCTGAAAAAGGCATTTGAATCAGGAATACCTGTGGATATGAAGGATAATTATTACAGAACACCACTAATGACTGCTTGTGCAAGTGGAAACATAGAGGTGGTCAAGTTTCTTCTTGAAAGAGGGTATGTTTTGGGGTGGGTGGGGCTTAAGTTTTCATGAGTCTTCATATTTCAAGGAAATGAAAGGAAAGCTAAGATATATTCAACTGCAGAATTTTAATTGCACAAGAAAGTGCTTTACTACTGAAGCCTAGACTATAGGTGGATCTTATATGGGATAAGATCCTATGAGATCCAAAAGATCCACTTATATAGGTGGATCTTAGCCTGGGAAACCAGGCTAATGGGAACATAGGAATGTGTGTACACAAAGATGGCTTGCCAGTAGCACCTACGCACAAAGTGAAGGCCAAGGGGTTTTCACTCTGGGCGTAGAAGAAGCCTTCTGATTGGGTATCACTGGCTTCCCAAGAGAAGTTATTTCGGTCTCAGTGCCTTACCTAGTTGGTGTGGAGTTGCTTTTCATTTTATTTTAAATTTTTAAAAACATTGTGGTAAGAACATTACATGAAATTTAGCCTCTTAATAAATATTAAGTGTCCAATATAGTCTTATTAACTATAATGAGAATATTATATAGTAGATCTCTAGAATTTATTCATTTTGCATGGAGACACTTTTTAATCTGCCTCTTTTTATGTGTGTAGGGAAATCCCAACAAAGTCCAACAAATGGGATGTTGGCTATAATGATTAAGGACATGTTGGATTCCTTTCTCCAGAGATACCATTTTTTTTCCTTGGTTAATATATAAATATCTTTAAAATATCAAAGCTTAATATTTTCATTTGACTTTTTAATCTAAAGCAATTACTTGGATTTAAGTCCTTCTTTTACCACAACTAAATAACCTGGGATAAGTTTCTTAACCTTTTTGTTCCTCAGTTTCTCACTTTAATAATGGGCCCCTAATGGGACCCAGGTCATAGAATTTATTGAAGATAAAATTAGTTAAAATATGTAAAGCACTTACTAGCACAGTAATTGCATACTTGATAAAAGTATTGTTACTATAAATATTTAATGTCAAAAAAGATTCAAATTTGTATATTATCAGAAGAGAGTATAAAGCAACTATGAGGATTCAAAGTTTTGGGCAGTGAATCTTTAAAAGGGACTAAAATTTAAAATAATGCATTTACATAATAATACATAAAATTTGAAATAATGCTTAGAGTTTTAATGAAGGTGCATTTAAAAAATTTATAACATGCAGAAATAGACACAAAATGGAGTAGTATAACATATTTCCTGTTAGCTTTTATCTTCATTGGATTTAGTTTTACAATTTTTCTTGATTCTAACCTTTGCAAAATTATAACCCCTAGGACCTTAAGTGCCTTTTAAAACTAAACCAAATGTATATGTATACACAAAGTGAAGACTGCCAGCTAATGCAGAACACTTGTCAAGAAAAATCATGACACAGAGTTTAATTTTACTTAGAACTTTACTTCCTTGGTTTATATTTGAACAACTTGATAAAACTCTAAAAGACTTACTTAGCATTTTTAGCCTCCAATTCTTGGAATAACCCATATTTTTAGCTTGTGCATCTCTCTTACCTTGTAGGGCTAACATTAATGCTACAGATAATTTTCTGTGGACTCCACTCCATTTTGCATGCCATGCAGGCCAACAAGATATTGTTGAGCTTCTTGTTAAATCTGGAGCCATCATAGATGCAGTTTCACTCAACAACTCAACTCCTTTAAGTAGAGCCATTGAGAGCTGTAGACTGGATACTGTCAAATACCTACTTGATATTGGTGCTAAATTCCAGTTGGAAAATAGAAAAGGTACGTGTTCATCTTATTGATGGTTAGGGTTAGGAAAGAAGAATTTATGTTTGATTTCAAACCCCATCTGATTCTGTTCTTATAGGGCCATATTTTCCCCTGAATTACTGCTGCAAACGTAAGCCTGAGTTAAATATTATGGAAGTTTGTCTTATTAACTCAGTTCTTTGCAAATCACTGGTGTTAAAGGGCCAATTCTTTATATTTACAATCTTTCATGGACTGATACTTTTTCAAAGTACAATAAAAAATTGTTTACTAAGAAAAATGAAGTCATAAAAAGCCCACAAAATATAAACTCACACTTTTTAAATTAGATTCAAATGACAGAAACCTCTTCTATCAAATGCTGTAAAAAATTCTAAATAGTTACTCTTAATTCCTGAGCTTATTTCATTGTGGACCAGTACCATGTTGTTTGTGGACTTTACCCATGTGTAGATCATACCTTGAGTTAGTCATCACATTGTTTTAACTGTCAGCTTCTAATAGCTGGCATAGTTTAAAACTTCTGCATTTGGATTTCTTCTAAAGCTGGACAAAGTCATTTCTGAACTGAGGCTCTCTTTAGGAAGTAGATGGAAAGTGTACCTTATAAAAATCACAAATGAAGAATAAAAATTCATTTGATAAATATGTGAGCTCTTTGCTTGGAGTTACCATTTTCTTATAGTGGAACTCATTGCTTCCTTTCAGTGGAAGAGTACTGTACCTCTGGCTGCTCCAGGCTGTCTCTGTAGACATGGGTAGTATTGTGGGAGTCCTGCCTGAGGACATTACAGGTGTCATAAATTCTATCCACCTGCATAGAGCACTTCTGACCCTGGGGGTCCCCAGGCCTTTTAGAAGATACCTCCTTACACCATGGAAAAGGGAAGACAACATAAAATTGTCACATGAAAGGAAATGTGCGCAGTGTGGAATGAGAACCAGCAATTAAATATTCAAAATGTAATCTGCCACTATTTCCTATTGATTTTTTAAGAAAGATGCTAAAAAAATTAGTAAGAAAAATTGATTTGCCAGTAACTGACATTTTAATTATAAGATTTTAGAGCTGGACCCACCTTTGAGAATGTCTGATCTAGCTCTGTGACCTTACACATACCATTTGCTTTAGAAACATCCTTACTAAGACATGCTTAGGGATGATGTGCTAAGGTTTTTCTATATGGTATATTATTAATATGCTTATTATAGTTTGAAATTTTTATTTTAAACAGGGCATACTGCCATGGATGTTGCAAAAGCATATGCTGACTATAGAATAATTGATTTGATTAAAGAAAAGCTAGATAACTTGCCAAAACCAGCAGAAAACCAAAAACCAAAAGGCAAGCCACCTCTTAAAGTGAAAACTGAAGGCCCTGAAATTAAGAAAGAAGGGGAGGTAAGAAAAGTAATTGATTATCCATTGGTAACTGAAATGTCTTAAAAACTTGTTGGGGAATGGGGCAGCATTGCATACTGTTACACAATATGGGCAGAATAACAGGCAGTCTATATTTTCAGCGCCATTATGCAATACTTAAGAAAAATCTAGCAAGAAAATTCCTATTACTGAAGAATCTGAAAAGTATTTGTTGCAAAGAGAATTGTACAAAAACCAAGTTGGTTCAACAATTAGAATGTTGAAAAAAGAACTGATATTGGATATATGTATTGGGTATATACATATTTATATAATATATGTATATTTATATGTATATTTGGTCCTGTGTTATACATATTTGATGAGATGGCCCAACAGGGAAGAGGATAATCCTTGTGAGGAATGAAGTAAAACATGATTTTCCTTCATTTTGGCCTTATATACTTTCATTACTCATCTTATACCACCCCTGCTTAAGGAATTTTAATGACTGAACCCTGAACCCTGAGATATAGGGATACTTGTAACTTTGGATATCATGCAGTAAGACTCTAGAAGGTTGAGGTTGTTGCTTATGGGGATTTCTGAGACATCAAAAGCTTTGTCATTAGCAGGGAAACTCTAGATGCATTTCCAAACTAGAAGTTTCTTTTAGGGGAGCAAAAGGATCCCTGGGAGATTCTTGCAGACACCTGACAATGGATGAAATTTAAGAAGGAAAAGCTTTGATGTTATCAAACAGAAAATAAAGGAATGTAAGTGGTAGGAAATGGATAGAGTGAAGAGATTATAGGCAGACAGTAGAGAGTAACAAACATGGATGACAAGATTAAGAATTGGCAGAGGTGGAACTTCCAGCCAAGATGGAAGTGTAGGTAGATATGCTTCACCTCCTTGCACAACCATAAGAAGGATCACAACTAATCTCAAAACAAAAAACAAGCAGAACTACCAAAAAATAGAACTGCAAAACTCAACAACCAAGGATTTAAAGAAGAAACATTCATCCAGATAGGTAGGAGCAGTGGAGCTGGGAAGCTGGGGCAGAGAGGACCCAGTGTGGCAGAGGTGAGGCAGTTGTGGCAGTGGCCAGCAGAATGGGTGGTCCCGAATTCTCATGTGGTGGATAAAAACTGGGAGGGACACCTGGGGAGCAAGTGATCTCAGCCCCAGGCCAGATGGCACAGCCCAGGGGTTCAGCACCAGGAAAAGTAAAGCCTTGTAATTTCTAGCAGTAAAAATCAGTGGGGGTTAGGGTGACAGAAAAAACTGCCAGTCTCTTTGGAGAGTCCATTTCAAGGACCCACATGGCCCTAGGACATATGCAAACCCACCCACACTGGGATTCAGCACCAGGGCAGCAGCTAGAAGGGTGCCAGTTGCATTCAGGAAGGGGAGGAAATGACTGGAAATGGGGCAAGAGCTGAACAAGTGGCATTGTCCCTTCTCTGACCCCTGCCCCACATACAGCACCACAGAGTGATGAAGTCGGTAGCCCTGCCCTGGCAAATACCTAAGTCTCCACCCCTTACAACATAACAGATGCACCAAGACAGATAGTAGAAGCAGTTCTACCTAATATACAGAAACAAACACAGGGAGGCTGCCAAATTTAGAAAACAAAGAAATATGGCCCAAATAAAGAAACAGATCAAAACTCCAGAAAAAGAACTAAACCAAATGGAGATAGCCAACCTATTAGGTGCAGAGTTCAAAACACTGGTGATAAGGATGCTCAGAGAAATCATGGGGTATGGCAAAAGCATAAATGAAGAAATGGAGGCAACATTAAGTGAAATAAAGAAAAATCCACAGGGAACCAACAGTGAGGGAAAGGAAGCTGGGGTTCAAATCAATGAATTGGAACATAAGGAAGAAATGAACAGTCAACCAGTACAGAATGAAAAAACAAGAATTAAAAAAAAACAAAAACAAAGACAGAATAAGAAGATTCTGGGACATCTCCAAATGTGCCAACATCTGAATTATAGAATGCCAGAAGAAGAGGAGGAGCAAGAAATTGAAAACTGATTTGAAAAATTAATGAAAGAAAGCTTCCCTAATTTGGCAAAGGAAATAGACATACAAGTCCAGGAAGCACAGAGAGTCCCAAATAAGTGTGAACCAAAGAGGATCACACCAAGGCACATTGTAATTAAATTTCCAAAGTTTAAAGATAAAGAAAGAGTCTTAAAAGCAGCAAGAGAAAAGCAGAGAATAATGTACAAAGGAGTTCCAATAAGACTATCAGCTGATTTCTCAAAAGAAACTTTGTAGGCAACAAGAGACTAGCAAGAAGTATTTGAAATGATGAAAAGCAAGGACCTACATCCAAGATTACTCTGTCCAGCAAAGTTATCATCTAAAATGGAAGGGCAGATAAAGTGCTTCCCAGATAAGGTCAAGTCATCATCAAGCCCTTATTATATGAAATGTTAAAGGGACTTATTTAAGAAAAAGAAGATCAAAATTATTAACAGTAAAATGAGAAACTTAAACCTATCAACAACTGAATCTTAAAAACAAACAAACAAAGCAAACACTTAGAACAGGAACAGAATTATAGAAATGGAGATAACATGGAGAGTTATCAGGAGAGAGGAGGAAAGGGGAGAAAGGGGGAAAAGGTACAGGGTTTAAGAATCATAAATTGTAGGTACAAATTAGACAGGGGGATGTTAAGAATAGTATAGGAAATGGAGAAGCCAAAGAACTTATGTATTACCCATGGACATGAACTAAGGGGGGAACTAGGTAGAGGGAAGCACAGTGGAAAAAAATTGGGACAACCATAATAGCATATTCAATAAAATATACTTAAAGAATTGCCAGAGGTGAAGGAAGTCAGTCAGCTAAAGCTCCTACTATGTGCACCACTACCATTTTAATAATTAATGAATTGTTTTAATGAATTGCCACAGGTCAAGGATGGATATCATGAAGACTTATGAGATCTGCCCCTGAAACTACTAATTAAATAGAGTTAAACAAGGCAAACTAATTTTCTCTCCTTACCCAAAGTTAAAATAATATTCCACTTCATTTCAAGTTACGTAGTAGCATTTTTTGTTTCTATTTTTCTGAGATATAGAGCAACATGTAATATTAGAGTATCATAGGTTTATGAAATTCATAAGGATCTTTTTTGTCTTGCTTCCAGGAACCACTTTCGCCAGTTTATACTGTACCAACCATACTGGAGGAAAAGAAAATGCGTAAGGATAATGTGGTTCATCTCAATTCATTGATTACTAGTGGTCACACCAAGAAAGTAGATATCACATTTATTCCACGGAGGGTAAGTACTTCGGAACGATTTTCATAACATGGTATAAACTCATAATGTCATTTTTCAAATACTTTCCATGCAGATTACCCAAACAAATGTCCAAATGATATTTTTCATAGTTACTATTTGAAGGTGTCCTTTTGCCGGGTCCTGCTATTTATGACTCATTAAGTCCAACTTGTTTGGCTCCAACTATCTGGTTTCTTCTATTACTATTTTTATTTTTACATTTTCATTTTTCCTCAAAAGTTTAAAGTCTTCTTTGGTCATTATCATTCCCTATAGCCATTTAGTCACCAGGTGCTATAGATACTTTTTTTTAGTACCTTAGGTCCAACCCTTCTTCCTTGTACTTGCTACCACCAACTCCTTAATTTGTAGGGGTTTCCCACGAATTAAGAGAGGATTTATTCAGTAGCTACCTAAAGCATCTACAGTAAGAGGTAGAAGCATCTTTGGAGAATAAGAGTGATCCTGGCGATGCCCATCAAACCATGCTGAAAGAGAGACCACCAGCTTTCTCTGCCTTCTACTATGAAAATAATTTTGATTTACTCATAAGATATAATGGTAGTAAATCCAAATGATCCTCTAATTCCATTGCTTTCTGGTTTTGACATCCTAAAACTGAACAGTACCTGGCTCAAAGGTCATCAGACAGGTAATTGAAGAACAAACACTTCAGTTGTCCAGATAGTCACCATCAGAAACAGTGATGCCCATGTAACCACTGATGTTATGTAAAAGTAAAAAACAAGTTAAAATAGAATTAGAAGTAAATTTGATAGTTTCAAATTAACCATATTGAAAATTATCTGACTGTGGCATGTTTATTGGCTGTCATACTCATACCTGCTCTGGATGTGGTTGTTTATTTAAGACCTGGAGTCCTGAAGCCACAACGGAAGAGCTGATCAGAAAGAGGGAACTGCGGAGGGAGAGGTTCACTTATGAGGTGGACTTTGAAGACTTCATGATGCCCTTTCAGAAGAACATCACAGAGAAAGCTCAAGCATTGGAAGCTGCTTTCAAGAACTAAATCACAGAAGTTGTGCCTTGTGTTAAACATTTTGAGGCCCAGAGATCAAACTTTGGAGGAAATAAATATTTCCGTCAAAGCCAAAGCAATCCACAGCTTAAGTATTTGTAACCAAATATTTGTTTTTGCTTTAACAACTATAAATAGTATAAGCTGTCTAGAAAAGGTGTGTTTTGTTTTACAACAAATTGCATGTCATTCTGGGTAAATTCCCCAATCATCTTTAAGATTATAGTGGAATAAATGGCATTTTGGTTATAAACATAACTTTATTGTCAGAAAATTTACCAAATATACACCATTGTGTTTGCTAAGATATAATTCTGGAAGTTGTTGTAGACTATTTTAATATTAAGAAAGAGAAGGAATTTTTAGTGTGTTAAGGAAGAAATTTGTTTCTCACACATGATTGTAAGTGATGTATATTGGGTTAAGTAAATGTTGACACCTCTGGCAGACACTGTCTGCACTCCAGCCATCTCTCCTCTGCTTTGGGATTGAGGCAGTCTCAGACCTGGTTTCCAGATGCTGGATTGCAGCCTCTGACATTTAAACTTGTACAGTAGGGGCCAAAGTACAGGGTCATGAGCACCTCCTGGAAACAGCTCTCAAGCAGTGACTGAACAGATGCAGTGTATTAAGTCCCAGTTCCGTCACCATTCTGGTGAGATTATTCTAAAGGACATGTTCTCACTAACTTCCAGAGCTCCCCATGGGGATTAAGATCAAGATGCCCACAGTGGTGATTTTGTGTGATAACATGCCCTTTATTGGACATCTTTTCTTTGCTGTTTCCTCACTTTTCTCCAGACCTTCTGGTCTTTGTTGAGATCACCTCCCAAATACTTATACCTAAATTCTTGTCTCAAGGTTCCTTCTTTAAGGACTCAAACTAAGACATCTATGGTGTTATGATTCTAAGTCCCCTAGCAAATATTTTTAAAATACATTCCCTTAGCTTCTGTTTGCAACAAAATAAACATTTCCCCGACTTAGAGGATTTGTTCCCAGGATCTTAAGCATTTAAGAAACAGTTCAAGTAGTATTCATATACTACTTTAGACAAAATTTCCACATGCCATAAAATATATATGATAGGGAATGACTAGGTATTATATATGACTTTTCCTTAAGGCAAGTATCTGTGGGGCAAGGGAGAAGGGCAGATTTAAGAGACCCACCATAAAACCTTACAAATATCCTTTGGACTTTGGGTCTGCAACTTGACTCATACTTGGGAAAGAGGTATGTTAGGATTCTACTGAAGAAATAGAGTCAGTAGGCTAGAACAGGTAGGTAGGGAGGTAGGGAGGTAGATAGAAAGATAGATATTGCAAGGAGTTAACTTACACAATTGTGGAGCTGGTAGGGCAGGCCACCAGGAAGGATAGGCCAAAAACTGTTGGACAAAAGATGTCCCTACAGTTCACAAGTAAAATTTCTTCTTCCTCAGGGAAACCTCAGTTCTGCTCTCAGGGCCAACTGATGGGATCAGACACACCCAGATTATTGAGGATAATCTCATTTACATAAAGTCAACTAAACGTAGATGTTAGTTGAATGTATACTACATTCATAGCAACACCTACAGTTAGTGTTTGATTAACTAGGTTCTATAATGTAGCCCAATAGAGACATAAAACTGACCACCGCTGGAGGTTTAGTAGTAAGTAAAAAGCTAGTGGAGGCATTACCCATACCAGGAGAGGCAATGAGGGCTGGGCAGGAGCTCCAATAGTATCCACAAAAGCCCCATTGACAGCAAGAGTCCACTTTAGAATCTGCCTTAGCAGAGGGCACAACTCCAGGTTACAACTGTTAGGCACATACATGAAATCCCTTTCCTTTAAACCCTTTACTTTCCATGTTAACAAGCTAGTGAGTCTGAGAGGAGACTGGATGACTGAGTGAAGTAGCTATTCAAGCCCATCTTTTCCTCAGGCAGGCTTGAGCTGGGATTGCTTGCACATTTTATAATATGGAGCCTGGACATTTGTTATTAGAACTTAATTTTGTTTTATGAAAATTTTTTGATGTTTCTTCATTTTTAAATTTTGACTTAATGTCAGATTTACAGAAAAATTACAAGAATTGTACAAAGAAATTCTGCATATCCTTTACCCATACTACATAAATGTTAACCATCCACTTTATTTCTTCCTTTCTCTACATATATATGTATATGTGTAATTTTTTTCTGAACTATCTTCAGTTGAAAACCTGTAAGTTTTTAGTGTGTTTATCCATAAAACAAGAACATCCTCTTATGTAACCATATTATAATTGTCAGTTAGGAAATTAATACTTGAATTAACTATATATTTAGTCTATAGTTCTTATTTTGCTATTCGTCCCAATAATATTCTGTAGAGCAAAGAAAATCCCGGGTCATGGGCTACATTCAGTTGTCACACTTCTTTGGTCTCTTGTTGCTTGTTTTTAATTACATTGGTATATTAGAAGAACTCAGGCCAGTTATTTTGTAGAATGTCCCTCAGTTTTTGTTGATTTTAGAGAGAGGGGGGAAGGGAGAGAAAGAGAGATCAATTCATTTTTCCACTTGTTTATGCATTCATTGGTTACTTCTTATATGTGCGCTGACGGGGGACTTTAACCTGCAAGCTTGGCATATCTGGATGATGCTCCAACTAATTGAGCTACTTGCCAGGGCCCAAAAATGTCCCTCAGTTTTGATTTGTCTTGTATTTACTTAAATATACTTTTAGGTGATGCATTTTAGGCAGAAATACCACAGGCCCTTCAAGTACAAATTATACAAGGCACCTGATATTGAATGTGATGTAAACTTGGTAAATTTTATCCTTTGGTTAAAGTGGTGTCTATCTGATTTCTCCACTGTAAGGTTATTTTTCCCTTTGTACTTATGTATTTTATGGATAGAGCCTTTGAAACTATGTGAACTTCCTGTTAGTCCTATAACTTTCATCCCTTAATTTTAGCATTTATGAATAAACTTGCCTGAAATAATTATTAGTGATAGTTGCCAGATTTTCTAATTGAACCATTCTTTCCACATTTCTCAGTTGACTTTCTATCATTGGGCAGAACTTTCTCCTCTTTCCTATTAATTTATGTATTTAAATCAGTATAGACTCATGCATTCTTTTGTTTGTTTAATGAGCTATAATCCCTCTCTCATTATTTTGATCCCTTGCTCTCATTATTTTGATGCCCTCATAGTTTATATTTTGATATAAAATATCCCAGACTTGGCCAAGGAAGAAGCCCCTGCAAGCTGGTTCCTGAGAACATGACATTTTGTTGACTAAAATAGTTAGAGGATTCCTGAATGTGAGGGCAAATGCATACCCATGGTTTTATTCAGGAACACACAAAATGAGTGTGCAACAGATTTTCAGAGGCTATAACTTTCTGCTATCACTATAATAAGTATACTTTCTAAATGCCAGTTTTATATATAGTGGTGTTCTGTGGTTACCTTTAGCCATTCGCAAACATAAACTGAGAGAAAGTGTTAATGTCAAGTCTTATTAATTCTCTTTTCTCTAAGTTTAACTAAACCTGAAGAGAGCAAAGCCTAAAGTCATTGGTGGCCTATTATGTGATCAGTGCTATTTAAAAAGTGGCCCTGGCTGGTGTAGCTCAGTGGATTGAGCGTGGGCTGTGAACCAAGGGGTCACCAGTTTGATATCCAGTCAGGGCACATGCCTAGGTTGCAGGCCAGGTCCCCAGTGGGGGCCACGTGAGAGGCAACCATACATTGATGTTTCTCTCCCTCTCTTTCTCCCTCCCTTCCTTGTCTCTAAAAAATAAATAAATAAAATATTTTTAAAAGATATTTTATTGATTATGCTATTACAGTTGTCCCATTTTCCCCCCATCACTCCCCTCCACCCTGTACACCCTCTCCCACTCATATGCCCCCCCTTTAGTTCATGTCCATGTGTCATACTTATAAGTTCTTTAGCTTCTACATTTCCCATACTATTCTTACCCTCCCCCTGTCTATTTTCAACCTACAACCTATGCTACTTATTCTCTGTACCTTTTCCCCCTCTCTCCTCCTCCCACTCCCCTGTTGCTACCCCTCCATGTGATCTCCATTTCTGTGGTTCTGTTCTTGTTCTAGTTGTTTGCTTAGTTTCTTTTGGTTTTGCTTTAGGTGTGGTTGTTAATAATTGTGAGTTTGCTGTCCTTCTACTATACATGTTTTTTCTTTATCTTCTTTTCTTAGATAAGTCCCTTTAACATTTCATAAAATAAGGGCTTGGTGATGATGAACTCCTTTAATTTGACCTTATGTGAGAAGCACTTTATCTGCCCTTCCATTCTAAATGAAAGCTTTGCTGGATAGAGTAATCTGGGATATAGGTCCTTGTCTTTCATGACTTGGAATATTTCTTTCCAGCCCCTTCTTGCCTGTAAGGTCTCTTTTGAGAAATCACTGACAGTCTGATGGGAACTCCTTTGTAGGTTACTGTCCCCTTATCTCCTTCTGCTTCTAGGATTCTCTCCTTCATTTTTACCTTGGCTAATGTAATGATGATGTGCCTTGGTGTGTTTCTTCTTGGGTCCAACTTCTTTGGGGCTCTCTGAGCTTCCTGGATTTCCTGGAAGTCTATTTCCTTTGCCAGAATAGGGAAGTTCTCCATTATTATTTGTTCAAATACGTGCTCAATCTGTTGCTTTTCCTCTTCCCCTTCTGGTACTCCTATAATTCAGATGTTGGAATGTTTAAAGATGTCCTGGAGATTCCTAAGCTTCTCCTCATTTTTCTGAATTCTTATTTCTTCATTCTTTCCTGTTTGGTTGTTTTTTTTCTTCCTTCTGGTCCATTGTATTGTTTTGAGTCCCAGTTTCCTTCCCATCACTATTGGTTCTCTATGCATCTTCCTTCATCTCTTTTATGGTAACCTGCATTTTTTCATGTAATTTGTGCCCAAAATCAACCAATGCTGTGAGCTTCCTGATCACCAGTGTTTTGAACTGTGCATCTGATAGATTGGCTATCTCTTAGTCACTCAAAAGGATGAACCCTGGGGCATTGATCTGCTTTTCTGTTTGAGACATGTCTCTCTCTCTCTCTCTCTTTTTTTTTTTTTTGGTCTGGTCACTCCTGCTACGGTGAGGGGCGGAGCCTCAGGTGTTCACAGGGGCTGGGCACCCCAGTCACTAGATTGTGACATTGTATGTGGGGGCGGGGGCGGGAGGGAAGAATGGCAGTAGCTCCGTTCTCCTGTCAGTCCCTTCCCTGGGATCCTGGGCTGCGCGCTCTGCCCTGGTCCACAATTGCCGCCTCACTGGGTCCGCCAGCTGCGATCTTGTGGGCCCCGGATGCCCTACGCACTCCCGGTTGCCTTATGTGCCCACTGCTCTCCGCTCTCTGAGCCGCAACCCGTGCTGCAACCCCCGCCGGCTGCTCCTCTCCACCCCTCCTACCAGTCTGGGTGAACGGGTCTACTTTAACTTCTCGGCTGTCCGACTTCCATTCAGATAAATTCTCTATCAGTTCTGGGTGTTATTCTGCCTCTAAATTGTTGTTCTAATCTTGGTTGTGCATGGAGGTACGGTGCGTCCACCTATACCTCCATCTTGCCAGAAGTCCCCTAAAAAATAAATAAAATCTTAAAAAAAAAAAGTGGTCCATGGAACAGTAGCATGAGTATCACCTGGAAGCTTGGCCCCACCCGCCCTCCCCCTCAAAAGATTATTGTCCAGAATTCTATTTAAGCATTTAAAAAAAGTGTAGAGAAAATTTTCCCAGCATAAAAAAAAATTCATTAAAGTTACACTAAAAAAAAAAAGTCAGTGTAACTAGTATGTATAGTAATCTCAGACTTGTAAATTATAATTTTTCTGGGTTTTAGAATTACTTGTTGAGTTTTATTGTCTTGTTTTGGTTTACCCATATTTTCTATATGTCTTTTTTACCACGAACATGTATTACTTTACAATAAACAACAAAATTATTTTTTGAAAAAAATACAGCTTGACTCAGAAGTGCAAAATACCAAAGTGATTTTATTAGTGTTTGCCTCTTTTATTCCTTTCTGTATCTTCACTTAGTTAAGAGTTTCTTAGAAAACAACATTGAGCCAAGAATTCAGGAGGAAATGGTTTGTTAAGGAAATGCCCCCAGGGGTGACCTGTAAAGGTTAAAAGGGTGAAGCAGGACAGGGAAGTTAATAAAACCCAAGAGTTAGCTTTCCTATGAAGACCCAGGTTTAATCTAACCTGTGGGGAGCTCTAGAGCACAGGTAATGGATGCTGGGCTTCTGGATTCCTGCATCAGTTAATAGTTACAAGCTAGAGGGGATACTGGCAAGGTTATTCCAATGCTTAAGGGCAATACGATACATTGTATTGGTGGGTCATTGTGGGAATTGTTGTCTGGAAAACATGCAGAGGCTGGGGGTGAGTGCATAGTATGGGAAAAGTAACACCAAAAGGGTGTGCTACAGAAATGTATATACAAAGCTAAACTTTAAAAGGAAATATTCTCCTTTATGCATGTTCTGTCTTTAAATGAACATTTTCGTGAATTGGTTGAGAGTGTGGATTTTGTATTTGGTGGACCTGGATTTGAATCCTCCCTCTGCCATTTACTAGCAGTATGTCTATGGATCCGCTACAAATTGTCTCTGAGTCTCAATTTCATCATCTATAGAGATAATAATATACCCCTCAATAAGTTGTGAGATTCAAATGGAAAAACATTTATAAGACTTCTAGTTTGGTGCCTATGCATAGTCATCACTCAATAAGTGACATGTTTTACACCTTTTTTCAGCCTCAAGTTGCAAGGTAAGAAAATAAAAGACAGGGATGAGGACCCAGAACTAGACAATCAGAAGAATAAAGGTTTGTTGAAACACATTCACTTTCAGACTGTCAGTTGAAGTGATTTAAACATGTAGACATATTCTTTATTTAGTTTCTATAATCAGAGCAGGAAGAGTAGAAATTTGCTGTGGAAATAGTTACTAATTCCAGTCACAATGATTTTAGTAGAGAGTTGACCAAATTTTTATTTTTTTCTTTCTCCAGAGCCTAATCAATTTCTTCTAGACTCTAAATAGACAATTAAAATAGTGTCATAGGTGGAGCTCCCAAGAAACAGAGCCCAAGATAGGGACTTCTGTGTAAGAGCTTTACTGACGGAATGCTCCCATAAGTTTTTAAGGGCATGAGAGAAGAAAGATGAAAACAAAAGAGGACCTTAAGTTAGCCTCAGCCTGATTCCATGGCAAGATATGGAGAATGAAATGTTCCAAACAGATTGCCTTGCCCAGGGGGAAGGGGCTGGCTGTTATATCCTACCTCAGTAAGTCATTGGTCAGATCCTTGTAGAGACAGAAGTCTCATAGAGGCAAGGTGGCTCCTATCAGCCAAAGCAATCCTTCTGAAAGATGGGTATCTCTGAGCCAAAAGCAACTACCAACCACAGCAGCTGAGCAATGGAGGTGCCAGATAGTGAAAGGAGTCTGGTTAGGGCACCAATAACATCTGCTACAAATGATAAGCTTTGTATTCAAGGCTTGGGTGCAAAGTTTTACACAGTTACTTCTTGAAGATCATTCTGTGTAATAAACTTTCTCTTTAAAGATTTTATTTATTTATTTTTAGAGAGAGAAAGGGAGGAAGAGGAAAGAAACATCAATGTGTGGTTGCCTCTCAAGTGCCCCCTCTGGTGACCTGACCCAGAACCCAGGCATGTGACCTGACTGGGAATCAAACTGGCAACCCTTTAGTTCGCAGTTCTGCACTCTTTCCACTGAGCCACACAAGGTAGGACTGAACTTTCTCTTTAAAAAAAAAAAACACCACCATAACTTTTACAGACTTTGAAACTTGTCTAAAACACTCAAAGAAAAAAGAGTGAGCAAGAACAACAGTAAGACTGATTCAGCAGCTACTAAAAAAGAGAAAGCAATTCACAAATTTCACTGGCAGTTTCTGTTTCTTCAAACTTGAGTGGAACATGACATCAAT